CCCCAAAACCCCAAAACCCCAAAACCCCAAAACCCCGTTCATCAATTCAAAGATAGTATCTTTAAGATATTAGGATTAAATAAACTACTACTACTATTTTCTCAGATTATTGGTCTAAATCTGTATTAATCAGCTTCCTCTTCCCCATAGCCTAAGCCTCCCAGAGGAAGATTATTATTCTTTATTTCCATCTCCTCATAGCTATTGATGACACTTTCACAGTTATTCAGACAGTAGTCAAAATGACTCTACTCCATAAACTCAGTATAATGATGCACAAACACTTTTTATTTGTAGATTTTTAGGAATTTCTAACGAAGTCTTTGGAAAATTTATCTTATACAGGTGTTATTAGATAAAGCTAATAAACTATAGTTCATGTTTATTGGTGGCTAGTTACACAGTCCTACCTTAAAGCCTTCCTTATTCCAATGGACAAATTTTAGTTTTTTCTAGAGTTTTTCAACATTTCTATTTATGTCTGAAATTTCTACTTTGTTACCTCTTACTATTAATCCGCAAGCGAGATATAAAGATTCTTAAGGATTAGCTTATTGAATTAACTGATTTCCTTTGTCAAGAGCTTCTTTGAAGGTTTCATCTATATTCCTTGGTTAAAATTTAGGATTGAGGACATTGTATAAAGGACTTAAACTTGAAAGTAAGAAATGCATTCTGGGGTATGGTACAAGATTCATTGTGATCTCATTTAAATCAACATTAAGATCTCCTTCAAATCTCATTGAACAAGTTAGGTTATTGACAACATGAGCGACTATTGAATTCTCTCTTTCATAATGCCTAACCTTTTTACCCTTTCCTGAAATGTCTAGAATTGATGAACCATCCTTAATATGATCTGCTTTTGTGTCTCTAAATATGTCTTTCTTTTTCTCTTCTTTTTAGGCATATTGCTAGTCCACTCTACTTACAATATCAAATAATGCTTGATTGTCGACCGGCAGAACGCAGTCGGAATTTTCTATCAGAACATTAAGAGAAAGCATTGAGTTATAAGGGGATGTTACGACATCATCATCATTTGAGGGAAATACGCAAGTGCTGAATCTAAAAACTGTTGGATAGATATCTGCTAAATCTTTAATTATGTAGCTACCAAGTCCACTACCTGTACCTCCGCCAATTGAATGTAAAAAGAAAAATCCCTAGAGACTATCGCATTTTTCAACTGCCTGACGAACTTTATCTTCTATTTCATCCTTGTACTATGGTCCATAGCCCAAGTGACCTCTAGCCCAATTATTGCCAGCTCCTGATTGATCCTTAATGCACTGTCTTGCTTCGAATATATCCTTAAACTCTCCCCCTAAGATCTTATTATCAATGACTCCACATTCTAAATCAACAACTATAGCTCTTGCCTTCAGATCAGATATTTATGACCCACAAGCCAAATCTTTGGTTTCCTTAAAGCGGGAATCAACATTTCTGAAGAAACTACTGATTGCCTCATCATATATCAGCGATTTATTATACTCTGCATGCTCTCTCAGGGCAAGCTCCCAAAATTTGAGTCCAATCTATATATATTTTAGATTTTGATGGCAAATTTACTTGATTTCCACATTATCCTACTTGTATTGTTACAATTTCTCTCGGCATTGTTTTTAAATTTATAAATTTTGTAAAGTAATTAATCAACTATTATTATTTGTTAGTATAATTTAATTTAAAGTATTATAATTAAATTAAATGTGGTTGAAATTACTATCAAGGAGTTCAATTGAAGATTTGATCAAGCCTCAACTTGTTAACGGAAGCTGGAGAAGACCTGCAATTGGAGGAAAGTAAAAGGCAGACTTGAGATAATACTTCTAAAAAGCTGGTGTACCCTGGATCTACGAGAAGGAAACACCAGATGTCCACTTTGAATCAACATACAATAGAAAGCCAAAGGGATCTGCAGTAGAAAGAAACTACGAAGTTAGACTTGCTTCAATTCGAAGAGCATTGTCTACTTAGGACGAAAGGCTTGATAAGATGAGATAAGAAAAGATCCAAAGCAAGCCATACAAGGGCTATGATCGTCTTATGGCTGGAGTACTAAAGGCTTTGAACCAAGGAGAGGGAGAGCAAAAGAGAGGTAGTGCCAAATAATAAATGCTTGCATAGAGAGCAGTCGAGCTTGCAGAAAAGAAATCACTTGGTATTAAGGGCACTTCAAAGAAATAGGGATCTAAATCTGGAATTACTTCAAAGGGTGGTCACTTCGGAAAGAAGGAGAGAGAAGTTTTCGAGATGACCAAAGGCAATTTAGGCTATGAAATGGGAGGAAAGCATACATCTGAGGATGCAAATGAGGATAAAAAGACTAAATGAAATGAATAATTACTTTTATTTAATCATAAATAATCATAATCTATTTCAATAATGATTTGAATATTCTTGGGGTTTTGGGGTTTTGGGGTTTTGGGG